GCTTCTTATTTGCAACATAGTACATAGTTGCTTAGAGTTGCAGCTGAGAGGCCGGCAAGTTAGGCATTGGAGTCCGCAGTCACTGACGCAAGCAAGCCTCCCTGCTCGCTTCAGTGCCTGGCTGCTGGCCGCCATCTTGGCTGACAGTTAATTTGCATATACTCACTGATTAGCCAATGAAAAGGGTAGCGGTCGTACGCTAATTTCCATGTTTCTCTTTTATTAGTGTAGATGATAGGGTTGGATAGTCTTATGATAGTTATAGCCCAGAGGTAGACTAATTACTCTAGCTCAAAACTTTTTCTTTCTCTAGCATGAGAATTAATAGTTGGAGTAGTTGGCACTGGGCTAGTTGGAGGTAGAATAGAAAGAAGGGAAAGCAACTTTTTAGAATACCTAGACTTAAACTGTATGGTGACTGGGTGTGTGTTGTTGAAGCTGATCTGCTCATTGAATCTTCATTGTTTTAATCCATAGAATATTTACATGTGGTCACAGTAACTGTTGCTGCTTTATAACTTAATTGCCAGAAAGTAAATCATTTCAATCTAACAATTTGAGCATACAAGTGTTATTTTAATACAGAAATATTTTTTTATGACATAGCTTTCAAGTACTTAAGTGTATTCTATTTTTTATAGGTTTATAAGGAACAAATAAAAAGAGAGAGTGTCTTGACTGCTACAAGCATTTTGAATAATCCAATAGTGAAGGCGCGATATGAACGTTTTGTCAAGGTAAGATGTTAGGGTATCAGCTCTTTAGGTTATATTGTAGTATTGTAATAATTAAATGGTGATAGTAACTCTTTATGATACTTAAATATAGCACAACATTAGGAAGAGTTGTTCTTAATATCTTGAATACATGTAAAACATCTGTTTTTCCTATTTGTTGGGGTTTGTGGCGGGGGAGAGCCATAAGCCATTTTTCCGTTAACCCTTTCCTAGCTCTGGATCATTTGAGAAATGCACAGGAGTCTGATAGAATATCACAATGTCAGCTTTATTCTTGATTTTTAGCAAAAGGATGTCTTGAATATGTTTTAGATAGGTAGTTATGTGAGCCTTCTAACATTTCATTGGTAAATTACATAGGCTTATGTCCACCAACCTCTGTTACTGGTTTAGGTGGATAGCAACAGCTTTCCCCTAGTTTACCATGTGACATAGAATAGACTAGAATGCATCCTTTCTATTGCTAGGAAGACCCAAAAGAAGGGACCCAGAAGGGATTGAGTTGTGTATGTCCAGTTTCTTCTTCCAAGTATAGTTGGATAAGTCATTCCTCTTCCTTGGATGAAGCTGGAGGGGAAGCAGGAGATAAGCTGTGTTGCTTCAGAAAAACCTCCCTCATGGAATCAGGAGGCCAGGAGAAAGATTTGCCCCTAATGTCAGGAAACTCAGATGTGAACAATTAGTTATACCTGGCCCACTGCTTCTCAAACAATTTTTGCCCTATAATACTGAGGAATCTTTTCATTACATAAAGTCCTTTACATATTATGGGCACTTATAGTACAAACAGTAACTTATTTATTCAGGAAATAATAGAAATACATACTAGATTTTAGTTTTTGAGGTTTTTTTTTGTTTTGTTAATCCTTACCCGAGAATATTTTTTCCATTGATTTTTTTAGAAAGAGTGGAAAGGGGGAGTGGGGAGAGAGAGAGAAAGAAAGAGAAAGAGAGAGAAACATCGATGTGTCACATAGTTTGGTTGTCCCCCACATGCACCCCAATAGGCAGGGGATCAAACCTGCAAACCAGGTATGTGCCCTTGACCAGGAATTGAACCTGAAACCTTCCATGCACAGGCCAATGCTCCAACCACTGAGCATCACTGGCCAGGGCTAGTTTTTGAGTTTTTATAAAATAACTAGAGGCCCGGTGCACAAATTCATGCAGCATGGGAGGTTGGCTGTGGTGGGGAGGAGGGACCACAGGAGGTTGGCTGGCTGTCAGGAGGGACTGTGGGAGGTTGACCAGCCAGGGTGGGGGGAGGGACTGCAGGAGGTTGGCTGTGGGAACGCACTGACCACCAGGGGGCAGCTCCTGTGTTGAGCATCTGCCCCCTGGTGGTCAGTGCGCATCATAGCGACTGGTTGTTCTGTTGTAAAGTTTGCTTAGGCTTTTATATATATAGATACTTTATTTGAAAGTCATCCTACACCCGTGGTTGGCAAACTGCGGCTCGTGAGCCACATGCGGCTCTTTGGCCCCTTGAGTGTGGCTCTTCCACAAAATACCACCTGCGGGCGTGCACGTACAGTGCGATTGAAACTTCGTGGCCCGTGCGCATAAGTTGGTATTTTGTGGAAGAGCCACACTCAAGGGGCCAAAGAGCCACATGTGGCTTGCAAGCCGCAGTTTGCCGACCACTGTCCTACACTGAAAGAGTTGTTATGTTGAAGAATTACAAGTTTCTTATTTATATTAGTAACTAAATCTTGATAAATTAAAGAAGTTTGTTTATTTTGGCTGTTGTGGTGATTAACCACAACTAATGGTAGTTGGCTCCAATTCAATGCCAACAGGTATCTCCAGTTTGTTGTGTGGTGAAGAAGGAAAATTTATTCAATGCAAAACAGCTTAATTGTAATCCAGATGGCTGTGAAAATCTCAGGGCTGTGAGGCAGCCAGGGTGTAGGTTCTTCTCTATGGAGGCAGCTCTGTTCTCCTCCTGTTTGTCTACTCTGTCCTATGCCAGTCTGCTCTGGCCTGCACTGGTCTGCTCTGCTCCACTCAGTGAGACATCTTTGGTATTTCAGCTCAGCGAGGGAGACACAGTATATTCAATCTTAGATGGAAAGGGGAAGTGCTCTCTCAGAACCAAAGGAGCTGGCTTATATGGACAGAAGTTCCTGCCTCTGGTCCCTGATTTGTCCATCTTCATGCAAATGAGGACTCCAAATCCTCACAGTTTGATTGGTCCCAAAGGCACTGTTCTGATTGATCATAATAGATCTGCACAGCTTCAATTGGATAGGGAAAGCCTCAGTCCTATTGGTTGAAATAAGACTCCAGGAACTCCTTTGTAAGGGCTGGCACAGGTGGCAGGAGCAGTGTGTGCAGGCAATTTAGTGCAGGCTTCTCCCCAAAGTGCAGTTTGCATGAGATGCCCCTGTGTAGAAATGGCTGCTAGGCTCTGCTTTTTTTTTTTTTTTTAATTTGAGCCCAGTTAGCCACCAGAAGCTTTTCTTGGTAGTTGTTTTTTTTTCTCAAGGTTTACAATGCTTAATAAACCATTAAGTTAACCTTCAACTAAGTGCCTTCCAAGTTGAATAAATCTCAGTTCTTTTGGTTTATTCCTTACGGGCTTATTTTCAGATTTGTTAACCATATTTGTCATTGTTTACTACATTCTTTTATTTTTATTGATTTTTTTTTTTTTTAGAGAAAGAGAGAAACATCAACTTTGTTGTTCCACTTATTTATACATTCATTAGTTGATTCTAGTATGTGCCCTGACCAGGGATCAAACCAGCAACCTTGGTGTTTCGGGACGATGCTCTAACCAACTAAATTATCCGGTCTGGGCTTTACTACATTTTTGACACCACTTTTAAAAAGCGAATGTAGCACTAATTGAAATCCAAGTTTTTGGGACATATGGCATCAAAAAGATAGGAGCTAAATTAGGAAAAATTAGATTTTTATTCTTGCTATATCATACACTCTTGAGAAGTTAATGGCTTCTATTGATGTATGAAAATAATTTTTAAAGAGAGAATACAAATTAGAATTTCTACATAGGGTTTTCAAGCTGCACTTTAGAGTCAGTTCATGGAAAAAGAGACATCACAGGTGGGGTGTCTTGCTCATGGACCTATTTTGGAGAAAGTACCTGAACTGAGAAGAACTCAAGATCCTTTACTCTGAATGTGATCCATGGACCAGCAGTATTGGTGTTACCTGGGAGCTCATTAGAAATGCAGTTTTATTTTCAGTTAATGTCCAGGCCTATTGAATAAGAATCTTCATTTTAACAAGATTTCAGTTGATTCATTTGCATTAAAATTCAAGAAGCACTGATGTCACATTGCTCAATGATTTCCCTTTGTTCTGCATTTCTGTCTATTTCCTGTTGTCATTCCCTAGAATATCTCTGTTTGTAGTCAGCTCTGGTCATGGTTTAAAAGTCTTACTTCCAAGTGCTCTCAGTCTGATAAAATACCGTTTTTAATCTTTACCCCATGAAGATATCAGTTCATCAGTTTCTTTCAGTTCTCCAATTGTGTCATCTTGTTTTCTTCACTCCCTGGCCTGGACACACGGTCAGCTTTTACAGTAATGCAGTGCTGCCATTGTTAAACCCCCTGCTCATCTGTTCTTCTGCCTCTTACCAGTCACCAGCACTGTGCCATCTATGGTTAGCTTTATTAACTGTCTGTCTTGCTAAAAATATCATGGAATTGTTTGCCACATTTTTACTGTAGTTCACAATAATTTTACTTATTACCTACCAATGTAATATGTTTCCCATAGTTACTGCTTCAAAACTGTTCTACTCTTCACATAGCCAGATTTCATCCTTACTCCCCTCACTTCCTTTATTCTTATTTCTTTCTTCTTTTAGGGTGATTGAGACCATTTGATGCGAACTCTATAGTTCTCTCCTTCTCTGCCTTAGATTAATCTTTCCCTCACCTTTTTTGTTATCTGTGAGGGAAAAGACACTTCTTTACTCTTCATGTGTGTTCTTGTTTCATTGGTTATCTCTTTCCTTACCTGCATCTGACTTCTCTTTATTTTATTATCTTACCCAAACAGACATGCTTATGAGATCCCTACACTAAAAATGACTTAACTTTTCCTAGTCTCTGGTCATACGTGAAAAGGTAGTTTACCCTGCATTGTGCTCTTTACTTCCTCTATATTATTCATTCTTTAACCCAGTAGTTCTCAATTGGAGATGTGTAATTAGAATCACCTATTAGGCTCAAATCAAATAAAAATCTGCCTATGCCCTTTTTAAGACCTTTAATATTAGGGCATTCTAAACACCTCTGATAAATTATCTCTGAAATGCTTCTTAAATATGCAGATTACCAGACTTCTTCCCTGAGAATTTTGACTCAGGAGATTTGAAATTGAATCAGGAATTTGTGTTTTTAGCAAGAGTTCCACTACTTGACTAAATTAAAATTTGGGAGTGTTAGACCTGAGCCTTTTCTTTTGAGAGCTTTGTGGAAAATTGTGGCAATCACTTCTTGGGCAATTCTTGGGTAGAACTTTCACTTATGTCATCCTTTTGAAACTGCTCTAAGATGACCAGTGACCTAATTTTCAAATAAAACATTTTAATGGTTTATTCTTTATTATTTTAAACTTAGCAAATAAGGGGATAGTAAAATAAATCCCTCACAGAGCTTTAATAGTTATCAACTCTATTGACCTTTTCCCATTCTGTTTAGTGTTACTTGCTTCCATTACTTAACACTGCTGTTCTATCACTTACTTATTCTTGAAACTTTGTTTTGGCAGATATTTTGCTGTCCTGGGTTTCCTCTTACATTCAGTGTTCCTTTTCTAACTTCTACCCCCAAGTATAGGCATTTTCAAAGGGTTTTATTCTTGGAGCTTTTTTCCACTTTCTCCCTCAGACCACCCCTGCATTTGTCTCATTTAAAACCTTGACTTCACCACTTACTCTGTGCAAGCAATTCACAAATCTAAACATCTTACTTTGAACCCTCTTCTGAGTTGCAAATTTATAACTGCCTGTTAGTCATTTAGACACCTGAAATTCTAATTATATGTAGCATATACCTGCTTCTTCTCCTTTCCTCATCCTATTTTAACTATTGTTACTGGTGCCACAACATACTTTATACTTCCCTTTCCTGGGCTGTTAGAGTAGCCTTCTCACTAGTATTTCTTTTCTTGCTGCTCCAGCTTATCCTGCACATTCCTACCTGGTTTATCTTAAAGTGTATCACTAGTCTTATAAAAACCTTTATTGCCTCTTCATTCCTGCTATATTAACATAGCCTTCTGATGTGGTCCAATTTTTGAGACTTAATTCAGATACATAATTCAAGTATTTATTTAATTGATTTTAGAAAGAGAGAGAAAGGTACAGGGAGGGAGAGAGACACATCAATCAGCTGTCCCCTGCACGCCCCCTACTGGGGATGGAGCTCACAACCTGGGCATGTGTCCTGACCAGGAATCAAACAAGAGACCTTTGGTACATGAGACAATATTCAGCCAATTGAGCCACACTGACCGGTGCATCAGTTATTTAAATAAAAATATTAAAATACAATTGTGTTTATGAATATTTAGTGCATTAAATATTTGTCTATTTTTTTAAAGAAAAATTAGGTACATTATTTTCATTTGAATTTTTAAAAACATTTTAAGCTATATAAACTTATTGCATTCTTTTTAAATACGTTTTTATTCATATTTTTGGAGGGAGAGAGATAGAAACATTAATGAGAAACATCGATTTGCTGCCTCCTGCACTCCCCCTACTGGGGGTCGAGTCCACAAACTAGGTATATGTCTTGACTGGGAACTGAACTGGTAACTCGGTGCATGGGATGATGCTCAACCAATTGAGTATCAATCAGGCTCATTTGAGTTTTTAAAGATATTCTGCAACAGCAGTACATTGACTACTAGTATAATTAAGTAGAAGATAAATATCTTTTAAAAATATTTTTATTGATTTCAGAGAGGAAGGGAGAGGGCAAGGGACAGAGAGATAGAGGGAGAGATGAGAGAGAATCATTGATCGGCTGCCTCCTGTGCACCCCCTACTGGGGATGAGCCCATAACCTAGGCATGTGTCCTTGATCAGAATTGAACTCAGAACCCTTCAGTATGCAGGCCAACGCTCTATCCACTGAGCCAAACCAACTAGGGCAAAAGTTAGATATTTTACTTCATCTGCTTAGTTTCTACGAAAACCCATATATTTGTCTTTGTTCTACACACATACAAAATTTTAGAAATTCAGTTAAAAACATAGGACCTTTAAGCCTTCCAGTTTATGAGTATAAAGTAATGAATTCAGTAATGTATATACTCACTTTGGCATGAATAGGTACTCAACAGATATTTAGTGGATTTGTCATCTATCTTCTGTCTGTATATATGAAAAGCCAGTGACCGGAACGACCAGAACGACCGGTCGCTATGATGCCCACTGCGACCAGCAAACTGGTCAATGGGGGGGGGTGGTCCAATTGGCCAACCTCCCGTGGCCCCTCCCCCTGGCTGGCCCCACCCCTGATCGGCCTCTTCCACCCTGATTGAGGGCGGGGTAGCCGGCCAACCCCCCCATGGCCCTTCCCCCCTGCTGGCCCTGCCCCTGATCACCTTCCCACCCCAATAGGGGGCGGGGTTGGCCAGCCAACCTCCTGCAGCTCCTCCCCCTGGCCAGCCCCACCCCAGATGGGCCCCCACCATGCCAATCAGGGGCAGGGCTGGCAGCCAACCACCTTCGGCCCCTCCCCCGATGGGCCCCCACCACCCTGGTCAGCCCGTGGCCCCTCCCCCCAACTAGCTCCGCCCCTGACCGGCTCCCCCACTCTGATCAGCAGGGCTGGCTGGCCAACCACTCATGGCCCCTTCCCCAGGCCGCTGGACCCCGATTGGCCCCCTCACCCGATTTGGGGGCGGGGCCCGCTGGCCAATTGCCCACAGCTCCTCCCTATGGCTGGCCCCACCCCCAACCAGCCCCCCACCCCAATCGGGAGTGGGGCCCACCGGCCAATCGCCATGGCCCCTCCCCACGGCTGGCCCAGCCCTGATCAGGCCTGATTGGGGCGGGCTGGCCAGCCAACCTCCTGCTGTCTCCTCCTCCCGACAGGCCTAAGCCCCGATCCGTCCCGATTGGGGCCGGGCTGGCCAGACTCCACCCATGCACGAATTCGTGCACTGGGCCTCTAGTGTTAAAATAAAAAGCTTTGAAAGTATTTTGATGATAGAGCATATAAAAATTTCACTGATATAAAATGTGCTGATTTTAAAAGCTATTTCTCATGTTTTTAGGGTGAGAATCCTTTTAAAATTCAAGATCATTCTCAAGATCAGCAAATAGAAGGAGATGAAGAGGAGGAAGAAAAGATTGGTGAACATATTGAAGAGGAGGAAGAAGAGGAAGAAGAGGAGGAAGTGGGGGAAGTGGAGGGAGTAGGGGAAGCAGAGGGAGTAGAGGAAGTAGAGGGTGTAGAGGAGGCAGAGCGTGTAGGGGAAGCAGAGGAAGTGGTGGGGGTAGAGGAAGCAGGAGAAGGTGAAGGAATAGAGGGAGTGGGGGACATAGAGGGAACAGGGGAAGGAACGGGAGTGGGAGAAGGAACGGGAGTGGGGGAAGGAGAGGAAGAAGCAGCAAAGGAAGAGCATGTAAGCCTTCCTGCTGACCAACCAGAAGAAAATTAAATATAAGGTATTAGATATAAAAGAAGCTTTAAATTTCTGTCCTAATGTGGAAAAGGGTAAGAATTTTAATAGTTTAAAATAAGAGAGTTAACACCCATGTTGCATGCATTCCACACATTAAAATTTTATTTTATATAATTTTTAAATGTTTGGCATTTGTTTAAATAAAATGAAGGTATTAGTTTAGTTTTTATAGTTACCCAACTTAGATTCAATAAATTGTTTGTATAATTTGTAAGCTTAATTTTTATTACTTTATTGGTGTTAGGATAACAGATATGTATTGTTAGTATATCTATTCTAATCATTTGAACTTAAATGCTGCTCTTGGGAGTATATATTCAAGTGTGCATTAATGTTTTGAATACTTACCCTGGAAGAGATTAATTGGGCAAGTATTTTGTGCTCTGTGTATTTTTTTACTGCATTGAACATTGAATAGTAATTTGCGTTAAGATACGCTTCAAGGCTTTTTGTGACCATGTTTCCCTTTGTAGTAATAAAATGTTTTTTACAAAAACTCTACCTGGATTAGCAATTTTACATGAAACAGTTCAGCAATTAGATGAGTATTTAAAATCAGGATTTGCCTAATGCATGAGTTCAGCTCACAGGTATTTTAAGATGATTGAGAAGACTTGAATTATAGAAAAACTTTACCTCAATCATATTTTAAAATGTATTACTAAATATTTTTTAATATTTCAAGTAGAGGTCAGTCTATAACTTACCTATTTATACTTGCTTTAATTAATTTCATTTCTTGGTGCCTGTGTCAAATCTTGAAATCTTTTTGAAAATACATTTGCATACAAGTAATTTTTTATAATTGTGTTAGTTATTTTGTAATGTCAGTATTTGGTTGAAGAACCAAGAAGCAAACTATCACTTTTTAAAAAAAAGAATTATTTCTTTTGAATATTTCTCTCCTCTTTTTACTTTTTGTAAGCCATATGCTTATACACTCTAATAATAAAAGGGTAATATGCTAATTAGACCGGACAGCCGAATGACCTTCCGGACGACTTCTGGACGAAGCCAGGGCTGTGAGGGCCGAGCCCCTTGCACGAATTTCGTGCATCAGGCCTCTAGTATACTCTAAAAGAGAAGATGAGATTGATAGGTGATCTGTTTTCAGGTGACCATTTATATCACTGAAAAACAGTGCTCTCTCTTTGGATCTTTACTCTGGCATCTTTTGAGAGGGGCTCTCTTTCAAGGAAATTAGCTTCTCAAAATTTGAGGCACCAAATGGATCAAGACATGGGTGTATTAACTAATTTCAAGGCATTAAATGGATAATTGGGCATTTGTAGAATTTCACAGATAATTTCTCTCTTTGCATACAGTTAAAGCTTTTAAATAGATTTAAAAAGTTTTTTATAAGTTTTTACTGATTTGAAAAAGGGAGATACAGAATCATTAATGTGAAGCATCGATTGGCTGCCTCATGCATGCCCCCTATTGGGGATGGAGCCCGCAACCAGGGCATGTGCCTTCAGTGGAAATTTAACCAGTGATCTCTTGGTGCATGGATCGACACTCAATCCACTGAGCCACATCAGCTGGGCTAAAGAGATTTTTTAAAATTAAGGCCAATATGAATTTGTTCTTGTGGGCTAGATTCGCTTATCTTTCAGCTGGGAAAATACAATGGGCATTTATATTCATCTACAGGGATTTGGAGCTAAGAAAGGTTAGTGAAGATGGGAGAAATTTGGAGCCTATCTAGGAGTCTGTATGTACTTTCAGTGGCTTCAGAAAGTCTTTTTGCTCAGAAGTTTATATTTTAAGGATACTAGGATTTGATTAATCCTTTCGTTTCTCCTTTTTAAAAAAATATTGTGGAAAGGCTAAGTTAAAAGGAGAATAGATCTCTTGGAGTTAGTACGTTCTTTTGTTTCTAAGTAGGATTTTGTTTTTTTAAAGAAACTTTTGGGAAGAATCCTGTATAACAACTTCTAAGTAAATGTTTTAGAATGAGAGCTAGGCAAGTACATCTAAGTAGTAATTTTTGTGGGAAACCTGTAAAATTCTTTATTCAACTAGCTTATTTACATAGTATTAATAAATTGTACTTTGTTATTGTGCTTAATTCAGAAATTAACAATTTGATAATTATTAAAAGGCAGTTTAATTTGCAGGCAGATTAATTTTTGTGATCCTTTATGTTTATATTTTCAATACTTTTGTGATAAAGGTTTATATAATATCTTTAATAATTTAACTTCTGTTATCTAAGTACAGCATGTCACAAAGAAACTATACACACTTCAAATAATTATAAGGGCAGTGCTTATTAAAATACATTTCATTTGTCCTAACCGGTTTGGCTCAGTGGATAGAGCGTCGGCCTGCAGACTGAAAGGTCCCAGGTTCGATTCCGGTCAAGGGCATGTACCTTGGTTGCGGTCACATCCCCAGTTGGGGGTGTGCAGGAGGCAGCTGATCGATGTTTCTCTCTCATCGATGTTTCTAACTCTCTATCCCTTTCCCTTCCTCTCTGTGAAAAATCAATAAAATATATTTTAAAAATACATTTCATTTAAACAATGTAATAGAATCAGTTGTTAAAGTGTGTATACATTTTTTTGGGACACCCTGTATTTGTTTTCTTTATTAAAAAACTAAACATTAGTTCTAATAACCAAAGAAATTTATTTATAACCTACACAGTTGCTTAAGCCAGATGTCTACAGACTGTCCTATATGCTTCCCTTTTTAGCCCTTCCTACCTCCAGTCTATCAGAAAGTCTATGTTTTCTGCTTCCAAAATTTATCTGCTCACTCTTCCGTCTCTTCTGCTACCAACCCAGTTTCAGTCACCATCATCTCTTTCTTGGACTATTGAAATAGCTTATTAACTAATCTCGCTTCCACCTTGACACTGTTAGACTCATTTAAAAAAAAAAATATATATATATATTGATTTCGGAGACAAAGAGAAAGGGAGAGAGAGATAGAAACATCAATAATGAGAGAGAATCATCGATTGGCTGCCTCCTGCACGCCCCTATTGGGGATCAAATCTGCAACCTGGGCATGTACCCTTGACCAGAATCGAACCTGGGACCTCTCAGTCTCCAGGCCGATGCTCTATCCACTGAGCCAAATCGGCTAGGGCTAGACTCAGTTTTGCACACAGAAGTAAATCATTTTAAAATGTAATTCAGATTATGCTGGCCATCTGCTTCTTTTTGTACCTGTACAATCCAAACTCCTTATCATGGCAGTCAGGCCTGGCCTAGCTTTCCAGCTTTTATCATACTGTTCTTTTTACCAGCCATAATGGCTTTCAGTTATTTTTTTAATGAAGCTTTTCCCTATTTCCAGATCTTTGTAACCTATACTTGTCAGCTCTCCTTGGTGGACTCTTCATCCTTCAGGTCACCTTCAATATTGGAAAAGGCTTTTCTGAGGAAATACAAGGGAATGGTTAAGTTTTTTTTTTTTAAGTGAGGATTTGGAGTCATCTACATATTTGATTTACTAGAGCATATTCTTTGGAGGTGATGTATTTTTAAGAAGTTTCCCAGGTGTTTCTGATGGTAGTGATCAGTGATTGCATTTTGATAACATTTATAAGGCTCTTAAACAAATTTCTAGTGCCTACAACTCTTCCATATCAAAGCCAGAACTTCTGCCTGTTAGTGATCAGGCATAGGAGGAGTCTTCGTAATATTTTTTTACTAGAGCATTGGAGCATTGAAATGACCTGTGGGAATCAGAAAACTGGGCCTTGTTTTTAATTTTGTTCTGTTTGGAATTAGATTATGTAATTCTCACAACCATATTGTGAAGTCATAATAATAGGATTAGTACTTTAATCATATAACAAGCTCTCTGGCTTGTGTCATTCCCCTACTTGAAATACTTTATGGTGTGGCATCCCTGGCTCTCTGTGTTTGTTCCTGGCCTGCTTCTCCTGCCTTACATCTCAGTCTTATTTGTATTAACTGCCTGTCCCCTTAAACATATGAATTTACATCTTGCTTCAGGAGACAGTGGTTTCTAGTTTCCAAGGTTTGACTATGACATGACTATATATATATATATAATCGCATTATTATAAAATATACTTATTTATATTTTATACCTACTGTGATTTATAATAGTATAATATAATAACTTAAAAACCTCTAATCCTTTTTAATAATGAGGTGGAATAACTGAAAATATCTACAGAAATTTGTATACCAAAGCCATGGACATACAGAAAAAACTACAAAGGGACATGATGGTAGTGCATGTTCAAATGTATTTGAGAATTCTGTTTTTATTGACAAGATTATTGTTATTGTAGAGGTTATCTCATTATTATCAGACTTACATTATTTAACATTTGCTTTGCTTACCAGATTTTTATTTTGAATACAGACTTTTTACGGATATGTGAAATTTACCCCTTTAACCATTTTTTGAGTGCACATTCAGAGGCCTTAATGACAAAACTTTTGATTACAGTTTGATATTCATCGTAGTTCTGCTGATGGATATAAGATGGCATGTAGTCATGCTGACAGTGCTTTAGTCCATGTGGCAGTTACAGTTCATGTCATAAATCTGCAGTTTGTCTTTGAGAGTTACAGCCCTATAGCTGGGTCTGTTAACTGGGTCTTTGTTTGGTGTGCAGTCAGGGAGCCTGCACGGCTGGAGGGCAGTCTTGGCAGTGGTGGGTTCAGTCTGCGCTGCACTCTTTAAGGCCTTTCTGGAAAGTGTCATACTAGTCTCTCCAATTTCATTTCCCTTTCTTCTGATTTTTGTTTAAATTTTTTTCTAAAAAGGTTGTATATTAGTGGTCGGGTGAGGTAGTGTTGATGGTGACAGGAGATGGCCTCCTGATGACGGAGTGTGGAAGGGATCTATAGGGGCTTAGTGAGGATTATGGCGAGTTCTAGATCAGAAGGGCATACTGGTTTCAAGCCATGAATCTAAAGTTCTGTTAAAATCACAGAAGACATACAATGAGAAAATTATAGCAATGAAGGCAAATTCTTAACCACAGTAGAAAGACAACAAGGGTGCTGTGAGGCATTTCTAGAAGATATAAACCAAGGAACCAGATCTTAGTCAAACAGAGAGGACCACAGGTGCAAGCAGCTGAAATTAAGGAATTTTTTCCATTTTAGAGGAGCTATGAGAGTGGTGGCTGCAGTTTGATAAGCCACATTTTAAGGACTGAATAGTTATGTCAGTCCCTGGCTCGGAGTTATTGGTCCATAGTATTCCTCTAAGCTAAAGCCATAACACAGCTTGTTGTTTGCCAAATAGAGTGAGACTCCTGATATAGTAGTTTCCCAAAGCATGTATGGGGGCCATCGAAGTGTGGCAATGCCGTAGGTGTCTTGTGGGTACTATAAGGAGCTTCGATTCCTAACGCTTGGAAAGCAGGCAAAGAAAAACCTGGTGGCTGTCTAGTTCCCATTTTTCATACTGACTGCTCTTCCCTCCTTCCTCGTACACTTAAAATGATGGTCCTTGTGATCAAAATCTGCTAGGGAATTTCACTCAAGCTGAGAAAAACTTCAGGAAACAGTATTGAAAAATCTAGTAATTGGCTGACTACCATCTGCATACTTCCCATTGCCTGTTTTTGTACGGATTTTATATTTTTAAAGGGTTGTAAAAAACAAAGAATATGTGACAGATTCCTAATGTGCACATCAAAGCCTAAGATACTAACTGGCCCTTTACAGAAAAAATTTGCTGGTCCCTAAGGTTCTCATTTACCAATAGAGACAGGCAACCCAGAAGCAACAAACATTAAGGAAAAGAGCCACATGAAAGATAGGCAGTGAACTTAAATAATTCCTGGGGAAACAAGGCAGGAAAAAAAGAGAACTTTTTGAGTAAGGATAATTAGTATTATATGTAACAATAGTCATAATTACAATAATTAGTTTTACATGTTATCCTGCTGGGGAAACAAGGCAGGAAAAAAAGAGAACTTTTCGAGTAAGGATAATTAGTATTATATGTAATAATAATTAGTCATAATTACAATAATTAGTTTTACATGTTATCCTCATATAGTATAAATCATATCTTCAAAGAGATTTTAGAGGTTACTGTGTTCATATTTTGGTAATAAAAAAATAGTTGATAAAATAAAAATACTTTAGGCCAATTGTTGAATAAAACATGTCCAAAAACAAAATTACTGACTTAGCATTTTGAGCTGAGGGATACTTTCAGAATCTTAAAAGAATATAAGGCCAAACAGAAAGTATGAGAAAATTTAAAAGACAGAAGATCCAGGTAAATGCCATCCATTTAAAATGAAACTTCAGGTTAGGAACCACATGTATAGCGAATTCACCATTGAAGACCTACATATGTCAGGTGCATGGTGCTCAATAAATATTTTTGAGGAATGAGTGAATGTATTGTTTGTGTATATATGAGTTCCAGAAGATGAGAACACACAAAAAAGTGAAGAAAATAAATAATAGGGACAAAATATTCTGATGAAAGACTGACATCATATTAAAAGGCTTGAGTACTGAGGAAAAATAAAAAAGGAGACATACACTTAAAGATAAATTCTGACGAAGTTTCTGTAAACCCAGGATAAAGAGAAAAATCTTAAAATGTCTAAAAAGCAATTTGCTTATAAGGGGAAGAGTGACAATGATCTTAGACTTGTCATCGGTACATTGGGATGCTAGAAGATACTATTTTTAAAGTTATGAGTGAAAATTGTTTTGAATTTGGAATTATGTTGAGTCAAACTATAATTTTAAGAGTGAGGGCACAAAATAAAGGCATTTTAGCAATTCAGACACATGGAGGACTCAGAAATTAACTCAAAACTACATAATATGACACCAAACTATGTAATGAAAATGTGAACAAGAAGAAAGGCACACATTTGCAATCAGAGCTCAGTATTTGAACATACCTCTTTCAGAAATTATCAGACGAAGAGTTCAAAATTGAGGACACTGGTTTTGAATCATACAATTAACAAACTTTAATAGAGTATTTCTTTTCAGATATGAAAATGATCATGATGTAAACCACAGAAATACAGGCTGCATCCTGTTACCAATAAGCTAGAAATTAACAAGTGGATAGCAATACACCAATACAACTTTAATCAGTATATAAAAGAAAACATGTTCTTAGAATGCTTGTGTTTAAACAAAATAAAAATTTATGAAATTTTGAGACAACTATTTTAATTAAGCTGTTCCAGGTTATACAGAAACCTGAAATACCTCTCAATTTGGTCTCTGAGGCTAGCATACCCCTTATTTTAAAATATTGTCCATCAAAGATAACTACAGACATATCTCAGGAACAAATGTAAATCATTGAAAGAACATTAGCAAACAATCCAAAAGAATTGTCATGACAAAGTAGGGTTTGCTCAAAGAACACAATTAATGTAACTCAGTACACTTGGAAATCTATTCCTATAACTTTTTACATTAGAAAAACATGATAATCTTGATAGATGCTGGAAAAACATTTTCTAAAATTTAACATTTCAGATTTCAATTTTGTCAGGCTAGGAATAGAAACTTGGCTAAGGATATCTACCAAAAATGTTCAGCAAATGTCCACATTCAAGTCAGAGCAAGCCTGTTGGCTATACAACAGTCACTTAACCCAAAGAAATAGAAATATTAGGGAGAGACAACACAGCCATTATTTTAGGCAGTATGATTGTGGAGGCAGTACATTTGAGAGAATGAATTGGAAAACTATTAGCTCTGATAAGAGTATTTTTGTTTAAGAATTTAACATACAAGTTTGCAGCTTTCTATAGACCGGTATCAGACAATTAGAAATGTGATTTAAAAATTCCCATTTGCAATAAAAATCTATATGCTCTCAGCAATTCTTAGACACTTTCCGCCTGCCCCCACATTTTACTATCTTTGGGTTGGAATGTATTTTACAATTGATGGCACCTTACCATTGCTGTTGGCCACGGGGTATTTGTTGCGTAAAGAACTATATGCTCGCTAAGAGTGAGTGGGGAAAGCACAAATCCCTATGGAAAAAAAAACCCCTACATTTTTAATGAAGGGTATAAAACGCCTGAATAAATAGCTAAAATATCCTGTGTTCCTGTTTATAAAAACTGTTATGTCCAGACATCAATTACCTTAAAATGAATTTATAAATTCCAATTCCAATGGGATTTTGTTACTTAGAATTAATGTTGTCTGTGAGAGCAAGTTATAACTAACAGTAGCTTACATAAGATTGAAGTGTCTCATAAAAATTCAGGAGGGCAATCTAGGGCTGGTGGTGCCCTTCCAGGTATCAGAAACGGATGCTCCTGGCTTCCAAACCTTTGATCTCCAGTGAGCCTGTCTCTTCTGGTCAATGGACAGGAAGAGAATAACGGTCACACACCTGAACTTTGAGAACAGTTGCCCGAAATTGTACCTACGTATCTGTTAATCCCATTGCTTAAAACACGAACACTCCTGCCAAGAAGGCTGGGATTTGTATTTATTCTCTATGCCCGTGTTTCCAGCTAAAAAGCAGGGGTCCTATGCAACCTGTGGGTCGCGACCCCTTTGGCGGTCGAACGACCCTTTCACAGGGGTCGCCTAAGACCATCCTGTATATCAGATATTTACGATTCATAACAGTAGCAAAATTACAGTTATGAAGTGGCAACGAAAATAATTTTATGGTTGGGGGTCACAACATGAGGAACTGTTTTAAAGGGCCAGAAGGTTGAGAACCACTGGATTAAAGGAAAGGGGGAAATGGATATTAGGGTACTATTAGCCACATATGCCATTCAAGTGACTCAGAAATTCATATGCAAAGTAACCAAGAAAAACTAAAAAGAACAATGAGGAAAATTTGACTACGTTTCTTACTAGAAACAAAACTACAATACTGTATCAAAAAATCAATGAAACAAAGGAAAAGAATAATAATATGTAGATATATGGTATATGATAAAGATACAGTTTTAAATGATGGGTAAAGAAGTAGCCTGTGAGTGAATTGGAGACAGAATAGCCACACTGGGGGTACCTGCCCATGTCACACTATACACAAAGATACATTTCAAGTGGATTAAAGAGAACGGTTAAAAAAACCAAAGTACATAAGTGCTAAAATGTAGGAAAATCATAATGTTGGGGTGCAGGTTTTCCTAAGCAAGATATAAACCCAAGGCGTGGCTCAGTGGTTGAACATCAACCTATGAACCAGGAGGTCACGGTTTGATTCCCGGTCAGGGCACATGCCTGGGTTATGGGCTCGGTTCCTGGTAGGGGGCGCACAGGAGGCAGGGGATCACTGATTCTCTCTCATCATTGCTCTTTATATCTCCCTCTCCCTCTCTGAAATCAATAAAAATGTATTTAAAAAAAGATATAAACCCCAAAAATGAGACCTAAGGAAAAATAGCGACACATTTGGAACATGAAACGACTGCAGGGTGAAAGACCCTGAGCAAAGTTGAGAGGGGAGGAGACACTTGCAGTACGTATATATGACACAAAAGATTAAGTTAATAAAAAACTTCAGCATATCAATTATTACATTGATAAATATTCAGAGATTTATAATAGCCACTTTTGGTGAGGAAAATAGGCCCTCTACCAGATGGTGAATGGCTGAACAAATTGTTTCATCTTATTTGGAGGGCAATTTGGAAGTAAGTAGCAAAATTTAAAATGCACATACTATCTGATCTCTCCTATAAACAACTATTCATTTGCCTGAAATCACAAATGCCTGAAATACACATGAATGCAAAGATACTTTATTTCATCTAATCTAAAATGTATTGAGACTAATGCTCTTTTACTATTACCAGAAGTCAAAAAACGATTTTTACGCAACGAATACCTCGTGGCCAACAGCAATGGTAAGGTGCCATCAATTGTAAGATGCATTCCAACCCAAAGGTAGTAAAATGTGGGGGCAGGCAGGAAGTGTCTAAGAATTGCTGAGACAGGGTGCATCTATAAGAATGGTCTTCCCAGCATTATTTGTAATAATGAGAAATTGGAATCAGCATAAATATTCAGCCATAAGGGGAATAAATTATGTATAGTCATAACAATTGAATACTCTAGCCCAGTGATGGTGAACCTTTTGAGCTTGGCGTGTCAGCATTTTGAAAAACCCTAACTTAACTCTGGTGCTGTGTCACATATAGAAATTTTTTGATATTTGCAACCACAGTAAAAGACTTATATTTTTGACATTTATTGTATATATTTAAATGCCATTTAACAAAGAAAAATCAACCAAAAAAATGAGTTCGCATGTCACCTCTGACATGTGTGTCATAGGTTCGCCATCACTGCTCTAGCCATTAGGGAGAATGAGAGAGATCTTTATGCTTTGACATGAAAATATCCTAAGATATATTGTGAAAAGGAAAAAGGCTACTTCCAGTAGAATGTACGTTTTAAAGTTTTACTTAGGAAAATTATCTACACTAATAAAAGAGAAACATGGTAATTGGCGTACGACCGCTACCCTTCCCATTGGCTAATCAGGGAGATATGCAAATTAACTGACAACCAAGATGGTGGCCGGCAGCCAGGCAGCTTGAAACTAACATGAGGCTTGCTTCCTTCAGTGACGGGGAGGAAACCAACGTTCCCCGCCTGCCTTGCAGGCCTCTGAGCCTGCAGTTTGAACATTGTAACATTTATAGAAGCTAAAAAAA